ATTTTTCTGCTTTCGTTGTCTCTATGCTTCACAGCCTATATCGCGTTCATAAGGTTTTCCGGAAAATGGGGGTAACTCCGGAACGTTAGATCGGAGAACGCTGAATATCAATAGAGTTCGCCCTCTCATGAACCCAATGCATCACAACATCTTTGAACTCAATCTGTAAATAACCTTATCCTCTATCTCGTACAGAAGGTTTTGGGAAAAGGTGGGTAACTCCGGGGGAAGGTCGAAGATCGCTGAATAGTGGAGAGGGTTTATCATAATATCATGACCAATCTCACAGCAGAGTTTCTATGGTGATCCCCGTGGGGGAAGCATGAATTGTAAGGGAGAAGAATATTCTGTAATCATTTTTTTATATATCTTCGCTTGTCAAAATCCACACTCTCTTGATCCCGGAGCTACGGTGGCTCAGTGGGTAAGGCGCTGGCTTACTAACCATTTGGTCCTTGGTTCAATCCCGGTGTTGTCCGAAACATTTCCCTGAATTTCCCAGCGTGGTTTTCAGTTGTTTGGTGGGACAAAAAACAGAGGTTCCGTTAGGACTTTGGCGTGCATGGACTAAACCCGTCTTTATTCGCCCAGTCGGTGCAGAAAGCCCGTTTCATTTCATTTCCCTTGATGGCCGCTTTTCTACCGATGATAGAGAAATACCAGTACTATCCCAAACAGGGGCGGATTGGGCCATCGGGCGATCGCCCGAAGGGCCGGTCGGACAAAAAATGAAAAAAATAATTTTGTCCAATTCGTCAAAAAAAACAAAAAACAACCCCTTTTTCTGATGAACATTATATGGGGGGGGGGGGGTATTGGAAGATCCATGGAGCGATGATGATCATGTTGTATGTGGCCGGTGGCTTTAACGGGCCGCCACGCCATCACTGGAGTCTGGAATGGGCTGGTATAATAGACTTTCTGGGCAGGGTGTGCTGGGTGTGGGCCGGAATTCGGAATCCTGCAATGGGGATTCCGAATTTCATCCGAAAATTTCATGGGAGTCACCCGCCACTGTCGCCCGCAAATTTACTAATTATTAAGTCACTTGCACTCTGTTTGTGGTTGTAAATTACTTGCAGGTCGGGGTTTTGGCCTAAATTAATCGATTTATGAGATATATTATTTGACAGAGATTATAATCAGATATGCCACCAAATCGCATATTTGGGGTTCATTTATCAAAATTTTTCCGGGGGAGAGCACCCGGACCCCTCGTCCGGACTCCGCGGTCAGTAAAAGGGGCCGCTCCGACACAGGTGCCCGGGCCGGTTCCCGGCCCCAATCCGCCCCTGATCCCAAAGCAGGTGGACTATTAAGGATACGGGTTCCAATACTTCCAATTGGTCGGAGATGATTCTACAACTTAAAGACATGAGGATATTTGCAGTATGAAGGCATCAATCTACTGTGACAAGCTTCATATCCAACCCTACTGGTCTATGTGAGACCAACTTTCGATCGGCGGTGGAGGATTATTTTTCATATGATCAAAAGTAAATCTCTAAGGAATGATACGTATTGTTTATTGGCATGAAATGGGGTAATACATATTTAAGATCATTATTATACGCTACAGCCATCAGTATCAGAATTTGGATAGCATCTAGTAAGAAACAAAAATACCTATGTCCCGTTTACATGGTCATGCGTCAAACACCTATAAACCATTAGAAACACACACGAATAGTAATTATGATTTTAAATTATGCTGCTACCGAAGTATATTTTTTAAAAACTTCCTGACGAAATTCGCCATTTGGAGTATCCCCACCCACACTTTCTGGCGTCTCCGATCCTCTGCGTTTGACAATTTGTCAGGTGTACTATAATTTCTTGACATGGTAAAAAAAATTCTAATAGTTCACTGCCGAATTGTTGAAGAAGCCGGAAAATTTCAGTTGTATAACCAAACAGGGAATAATTCATTTTAGCACATCTCACAGTGATTCTGTTGGTTTTCTGTTGTTATGGCGGCGCGGGGAAATGATTTTATTTTTGAAAATTATGAATTAAATCACCGGTTTTAGAAATTTGTTGAAACTTTCCAGAGATTGTCATTTACTTATGGGTAAAGGGAAATAACTACATTATAGTCGGGAATAGGACTAGTAATTCTCTCTTTAAGTTACAATTTCATATGTTTAAGTTATATTTTTAAAATGTATTAAAATATAGCCCTAAAATAGATGGTATCTATAAACAGTCCTACCTTGTTAAAGAATAATCCTATTAATCCTATAATTCACTATTGCCAGTTGAGAAATTGGCAAAAATATCATTTTCAACTTCAAATTCAAACGTTTGAAGATAGCTATTCCATGGTGGGGAATAGGAAAACAAAGGAGGTAATTGGGAGGTAATTGTTTTATTATTTCCGGTGTGAAGTTTTCTAAGTGTGAGAAAGATAACCCATGATCGTATAATAGTGAGTTGACAACCTATTGAGCAAAAGACATAGAAATAATTATGTTTTGACTTTCTTAGAAAATATTAAATTGTAACTTCTAAGTGTTTTCAATTTTCCATACATGACATTTTTTGTCAAAAAAAACCCTTTCTACTTCATTGTTAAATCCACGACATTGACATTTTATGGCTTATATCTTTTGAATTTTCAGCAAAGTGGCAAACATTAACGTAGGACATTAAACCCCATTTCATTTCATTTAAGCATGGAAGCCACGGTGACTCAGTGAATAAGACGTTGGCTCGCTAGCCTGGTGGTTGCGGGTTCGCTCCCGGTGTTGGCCGAAAACGTTCCTCGGGATGTTCAGACGTGACTTACATTGTCAATGATGCAGGGCGGAGGGTCTGGCTTGGACAGCTGTCTAGTCATTGGGATGGTATCAGAAACCCGAGGTCCCGTGTACACATTGGCGGACACGTAAAAGATCCCTTGGCAGTTGGAATTCGATATACGATTGCCCTTGTCCGGACGAAAATTTCCCACATAGTCCGTTTTCATTATCCCAGTCGGAGCAGAACAATAGGACATTAAACCCCATTTCATTTTTTATTATTATTATTTTTTTATTATTATTATTATTCTAAGCTATGGACAAATAAAACATTTAAAGAGCACATAAAATGACCATATAAAAGTGGTATATACTTGAAGCTAGTTTGTACTATAGTATTAAATAGTTTATACCAATTTCACACCAATCTGATTACAATTATTCAGTGTGTATGTGCCAGACATTCTAGAACATTCTTAAGGTTTTCGAATACATTTATAATCGAGTTGACTGATGAGTGACGTCACAGGGACAGCAAAATCTTTCTGGTTACTTCCAATTTAATGACTAGCGCTCTCTGAAATTATTTAAGCAAAATTAAGAGTTCAATTTTAGAAACTGTTTATTAATACCATTGCTGAACTGTTTTTCATTTTTGATATCTACAAGTATGTTTTTCGTCATTTACTACATATTAGTATAGACAATATATATTTAAAGATGCTGAAACTGGCAGTCACGTCACCAGCCTTAATTGGTTTATAACTTTAAAGGAGCTGTCACATATGTATTTTGGTGAAGCAAACGTGTCAATTCTGTGATAGCGTATCAGATGTTTCCAAAATACAAAAGTAGAATTATGGTTTATTTTGGTTATGACGTCATCAATATATAACAGTATAAAATTTTATAATCTAGATTTTACTCCATTATTTTTGTTATGATTTGACATCGAAACCTGAAACTTTGATTTAAGGTGCATCTTGATATAGTGATCATGCAGGACGGGGGGGCTGACAAGGAAAGCTGTCTAGTCGTTCGGATGGGACGAAAAACCGAGGTCCCGTGTACACATTGGCGTGCACGTAAAAGATCCTTGGCAGTTGGAATTCGACATAAGAGTAGGCCGAAGTGCCGCTGTCCGGGCAAAATTTCCCTCATAGCACACTGTATGGCGTATGCCCGTCTTCATTAGCCCAGTATATAAGGAGCAGAACAGTAGGACGTTAAACTCAATTTCATTTCATTTCATTTGATATAGTGATCACATTCAAACAAGAACATTGTTTGGTCCCACTTTATGCTGTAATACCAATTTTAACATTTGTTTAAAACCCAAATTTACAAATTACGTAGTTCACTAAAATGAAAAATTGCACATTAAGTCTTATTCTGAACTGGTACAATGTTTTAACGGAAACTGTAATTTAATTGTGACTATACGATAGTAACCTTAAAGGTTTATTTTGATAAAAAGGGTGGGGAAGGGTAATGAACTTGGAGATTTGCGCAAAGAGAATAAAACAAAAAAGAAGCAGTTTTATAAATCAATTCTAGGCCGTTATAAAATGGGTTCCGTATGAATAGAGGAGCCGCGATGGCTCAGTGATTAGGAGTTGGCTCGCTATCCTGTATGTTTCGGGTTCGATCCCGGAGTTGACCAAGAGAGTTCGTCAGTTTTACCATGTCAGTGGTGTAGGGCGCAGGAGCCAAAAAGAACGGCGTCTAGTCGTTCGAAAGTGCGAGTAGGAGAATGCTTGACAATTTTAATTCGAAATAAGAGTAGGCCGTTGCGCCGCTGTCCGGGTAAAACTTTTCCTCGTAGCACACTTAGCAAATATTCCCTGACAACAACGCTACGACCAACAGACTACTAACACGGGGAAATAGGATTGGATACCCCGATTTACTTCCTAGGACAAAACTGGGTCGAACTCAGCACGTAGGTCCACCCGTGCACATATTGGCGTACACGTGAAAGAACCCCTGACAGGCGGAAATCGAAGAAAATCAGGCGGAAATGTCACTGCTTGGACTAATATCTTTAATTTATCATCAGCGCACACCTAAACATAGAAATGAAAATAATCATATGTTTGTCTCAAAATGATCAAAGTATTGTGTAGACGACACATTAAATCCTTTCCCTTTTCGCTAACTATTACGTATCGTATACATGTATATTCAATTTGCATCCTGTTATATGCATTACACTTATAGAATAATTGGGTAATATAGTTATAATCGCATAATGGTGGACTATACCGCTATCGAATCTAAATGCGGATTTTCTGTTTTTTTATAATTATTTATCACATCGACTCTACGGAGTAAATTGCTTACTGACTTCAAAGGTAATCAACTCGATAGCAGGAAAATGTCAGGAACCATGTAAATTGGTATAATAAATTGACAATTGGTTGTAATTAACCATGATGGTATTTTAAACAACAGCTCACAACTAAATAAATAGGTTAAACATCCCACTCACACATACTGTTACATTACTTATATACCCCATGTTATATATATATATATATATATTTATCCCTACTTGCTTCCATAATGGACGTTCTAACACTGAAGATATTCATAACATTAGGTAAGTCTATTAAAATAATGACCTAGATCCATATATTATATTTACCAACTTGTAATTTTTTTTAATTCTTAGAAGTGATAAATATGATTTAACCTTTTTTTTTATTTTCTCCTAAAACTCAAAATTGAGATATATAACTGAATATGTAATACTTTCAATGCTTACTACTGTTGTTGGTATCCTTATATTTGTCTCGCTGTTTTTCTTGATGTTAAAGGAATTGGTGACATTTGTATGTATAACTGGATATGTAATACCTTCTTAGCATTTGTGTCCTTATATTTGTCTGTATGTTTATATTAAAATACTTGTTTTCTTTGTAAGTATAACTGAATATGTGACACCTGAATATGTGTCGTTGGTTATCCTTATATTTGTTAGAAATGGCGAAGCCGTTTTTAAATGCTATATGTTTGAACAATTGACTACTGACAAATTTCTAAACGAAATACTGGAAATTGTCGAAGTATATTCTGTGTTTTGAGCATTTGGGCCTATTAATTAGAATGTGAATTTTTCATTCTGTACTTCGCATAAGTTAGGCCACTGTCAAATAAGGATGAATTACGATTTTCGAAGGCAGATAGTCGAAATTCTTTTTATCAGAGAACCCGTAAATGATTCCTTGTCAAGTTCTGAGTACATTAATATCGTGAAATATGTTTATATGCTGATCAAGATTAAATGCTGATAAAAATCGATTAAAGCCAATAACTTTAGGACTGTCTGCATTATCAATCTACTTGTTGCCGTAGAAAATTCACATTTGTTAACCACTGATACTGTCCACATGTTGTATAACTTAACTATTATCTTTGACTACAGTCTCAATTAACTCAAAGCCCTGCTTTAATTTTTCAACTGTGATAAAAAAAACATCCCAAGTATGTAAAACCTTAAAAGAATTACCAGCAACATGATTTTGAGTTACAGTCTTTGTAGCTTTAACCAACTATAGTCATTACAAACAGCTGGCCAATAATAATATACCATTCACGATGACATCGTGGATGATATTACGATGATAGCGACCACCCTAGTATTCTTGGATAGGGCCTCGAAATGTAGAGTCAATATTTCTCTCTTTTTGAAAGGTTGTGGTCATCTAAACGATGTAGAGACAAATTGTTTGAATGGCATTTAGTAATTGAACTAGAAGAGTATACAGGTCACAATTCTATGGAATACAATTACTGCTTATTACTGAGCGACATTTCGGCCAGGCTTCTCTAGTCATTATCAAGCAGTAATAGTATTCAATATAGAATTGTGACCTGTATGATGTAGAGACACTACAGAACAAAGTTGGGAGAGGAAATCTTCACTGGTCATAGAAAGGATCGAATTGCATTTTTGATCCGCGATGCGAGGTATGCCTACGATGACATCATGGATTATATTACGATGATAGCGACCGCCCTAGTATTCTTGAATTGTGCCTCGACACGACATGTCACCCGCGACGATTAACTTTTGAAATAAGGAAGGAACTCTGTCGAGCAACGATTTTCATGGAAGATTCGATTTGTCAGAGTCTTTGAATTTTTTTATTTTATGAACCCAAAGGAAGAAGCTTGTATTAAAATTTCATTTTTTCAACATTTATTTTACCCTGCCAGCAAAACAGTCTTGTTATACAATTATTATTGCATTATTTCAGTTGTTTTCTATTGTGTTAATGCCGCTTGCCCACCTAATCCAAAGGTTAAAGCAGCAGAATGCGGGCAAGTATTTACACAATTTGGTAAAACCCAGGCGGATCAACGACAGGCTATGTGTCCGTAAGTATGATATTGTAACTGAAAGACATTTGCCACGGCAGCACTCCTACCCCTAAGAATTTGTCTTTTGGTTTATAAAGGTAAAATAATTTTAACGGCGTCAACTCCAAGTTATACCAAGGAAACTACGCTTTGATTTTCTTTTTATTTTGACATGATTTAAATACTCTCTCTTGTAGTTATATGAAATGAAGATAAATATAATTCTACGTTTAAATACTGGTATCATAATAATACATTCCATGTGATAAGTATTGAAATAACGCCCTTTCCCATTTACTTTCATAGTTAATCAAAGAACGTGTTCAGGTTTAATGTGGACACAATATGGCAAGTCGATTAACTTTTCGTAGGCTATGAATCCGGGATGCTATTAATAATATAATAAATAGGTGTGGTATATCTGATGACTTCTACGTTATAATGAAAATAAACATCTCCGTGAATATAGAGGCATTCAAGATGTAAACACATATTTGTTCGTTCTAGTTTGATTCATACTGAATTATATAGTCACATTTACAATTTAATGAATATACATGTACAATCATGTACTCGTATGTTAAGAGGGGAATTATTAACCCATAGAAATTAAATACACGTATAGATCTGTGATAGATACCTGGATTATTGCTAAGTAAATTGTTAAAGAGCACATAAAATGGTCATATAAAATTATATATCTGTATACTAATAACCAGTATTTATTATAAAAACTTTAGCCATTTGCACATCAATTTGATTAAAATGATTCGATATACTGCGGTTTATATGACCCTATAAAACACGTTTCAATTTTTCGATTACAGTCTTAATCCAGTTAATTGGCGCGTGACGTCAATGGGACTGCACATCTTAAACACAAGAGATGTGGATTGACGACGCGCAACAAATTAAACTTGATTACAAAATCAACAGTCATAATCTCCAGACCACTCAGGTGTTAATAATTAGTTCGTGATATTATCAGCAGTTATCCTCATAAAAGTCATCATAAATAAAACATAGATTACTAATTTATGAAAGTTAATGGATTATTATCATTTTGATTTGTTCTAAGGTAAATGAAATGAAATGAAATGAAATGGGGTTTAACGTCCTACTGTTCTGCTCCTAACCTGGGCTAATGAAGACGGGCATACGCCATACAGTGTGCTATGAGGGAAATTTTGCCCGGACAGTGGCACTACGGCCTACTCTTATATCGAATTCCAACTGCCAAGGGATCTTTTACGTGCACGCCAATGTGTACACGGGACCTCGGTTTTTCGTCCCATCCGAACGACTAGACAGCTTTCCTTGTCAGCCCCTCCGTCCTGCATCACTGACAAGGGAGAACCACGCCGGAAAATCTGGATGAACTTTCTCGGCCAATGCAGGGATCGAACACCCGACCTCCAGGCTAGCGAGCGTCTTACCCACTTAGCCACGTGATCCCCGTTCTAAGGTAAAACATTGTTAAAGGGAATGTGAATATGCCGAATGTATTGTGGATGTTTCTTTGCGAAAAGAGTACAGTGAATGAGATAACAATGGATAAAACATGATGTGACTATAGCAATCATTTGTCTTGACAAATACTGTCCGAATTCAAAAAGGGGGCCACGGTGGGTAAGACGCTGGATCGCTAGCCTGGAGGTCGGGTGTTCGATCCCTGCATTGGCCGAGAAAGTTCATCCAGATTATCCGGCGTGGTTCCCCCTTGTCATTGATGCAGGACGGAGGGCCTGACAAGGTCAGCTGTCTAGTCGTTCGGATCGGACGAAAATCTGAGGTCCCGTGTACACATTCGAGTGCACGTAAAAGATCCCTTGACAGTTGGAATTCGATTTAAGAGTAGATCGTAGTGCCGCTGTCCGGGCAAAATTTCCCTCATAGCACACTGGCGTATGGCCATTTTCGATATCCCGGTTCACCGCAGAACAGTTGAACGTTAAACTCCATTTCATTTCATTTCCGAATTGATAAAATACTACTATTACACGATCACTTTAAATATTCTTTCTCCATTTACTAAAGGACCAATAACATAAGTATTCTGGAGAATAAATTGTTATGACTTTTCTAGAAACATATTATATTATATTAGGGTGGCCCACGCACCTACAGAAATACAGTCCACCGCTGATAGTTCGAGACTACCACTGAAGCGTGCACATTCGCCGTGTCGAGGCCAACTTTCTGACAGTATGATACTATAAATAGCCATGGCACGTGCAATTCTCTACAAATCTATCAACTATTACAGCCGTAAAAAAATTATTGTTGACGATTTTGAATAGCAGTGAAATTAAGCTTCTTGGTTATTACAGCAGATTTAGAAATTACGTTCGTTTCATTTTTTAAATCGCTTTATCATTAACTGTACCGTTAAGAGCGGCATCTTTTGGTTTAGTACAAATAATATCTCAGAAACACTCGGGTTAGACAGGAACATGATACTAGCAGTAGTTTCATTTTACTTTTACAAGCTTCTTAAAACAATTGTTGAGCTAGCTAACGTGCTCATTTCTAAATTCAATTTCTTGTTCTAGCTTTCTGTTATGTTTCGTAAAAAAGTAGTTTTGATTATCCCGACCTGTCAATCAGCCCTAGAATGGTCGATAGACTGGTTAAACGAGACTAATTTCAAAACAAGGGCACGTAACCTATCTTTTACTCAAAAGTGTCTGGATGTTATGGACGACACATGGAACCAGTTTTCAGTCTATTATTTATAGATGATTAATGGTCATAGCTTATTAAGTACAACATGATCGTTTATTTAGTGACTATAATTGTGTGAAACTGATTTGAGGCTTGGCATATATATAAATATTGTGGCGAAATTGTCGAGATATATGGAGATATTTATTTATGGTGGGTCACCCTATAAATTATATATTATAAATATTGCTTATTACCGTTTGCAAAACAGAGCGGGTCATAATTTAAAACGAAACTTTGGAAGAAAGATCTGTCTTGTTTAGAGAAAATAAGGTTTCACGTCTTATTGTTTTAACTAACCGAGGTAATGAATACGTGCATACGCCTTGCAGTGTGCTATGGGGATATTTAGCCAGGGCTGCGGCATTTCCGCTAACTTTTTGTCGAATTCCTACGGCTAGTCTTTACTAGCCCGTTGCAGCAGTGGGGACCACGGTGGCTACGTGAGTAAGCCGCTGGCTCGCTAGCTTGGAGGTCGTGGCGTTCAACCCGGTGTTAGCCGACAAATTAATGTCATCGGTTTTTACCGGCGGGGTTTCCCCTTGTCAGTGGTTCAGGACGGATGGCCTTACAAGAACAGCTGTCTAGTCGTTCGGATTGGACGAGAAACCGAGGTTCCGTGTACGTAAAAGATCCTTTGGCAGTTGGAATTCGATATAAGAGTAGATCGTAGCGCATCTGTCCAGGCAAAATTTCCCTCACAGCACACTGTATGGCGTATGTTCGTCTTCATTATCCCAGTCGGAGCAGAACAGTAAGACGTTAAACCCCATTTCATTTCATTTCCGTTGCAACAGAGGCGCAGAGTGTTAAATATCATTTCATCTCTCATTTCTTTTAATGGTTATATAATCAGAACCTTTTATTTCAAGGAAATATAATTTATCTTATATGGGTGGTTTTATTTTTAGGGCTGTTTATAACGCTGTGTATTGCTTAGTTAATCTGATGAAGGAATGTAAAGAGTTTGAAAATTCCGCAGATCCAGAATCTTTCAAGAAGAAAATCCTACCTTCAATAGATCACGTGTGTGCCCCAGGTAGATCTGAATATTTTTTTTATATATTTATAATTCTCAGTATTCTGTAGATATATACAAAAGTACAGCAACAATTGTTAACAATTCATAAGTGGTATCAGGCGTTCTAGATGGAGTTTGAGCATGGTTTACACAGTACATAATATAATTTCGTGTATAGCCAAAATACTCAAAATATTATGTTATGAAATAAATGTATAATGAAAAACTAACTTTTATTTGAAGAATTGTAGAGCAGTCCGTTAACCTAAGTATCGCGTAGCCTAACTATTCAAAGTATTATGTTTTTAGATACATGTATAAAGAAAAAACAAATTTCAATTTAGGAATGGTAGAGGAATCTGTTAATCCGTGTAATAGAAGTGGTTTTGCACAGATGATCAATCAGTGTTCAGATCTAGCCTTAGAAGAATATAACGTTAGAGGTGAAGTTTGTAGGTAAGAGGACGAAACCTTTATAGCTTCACTACAGTGATGAGCTGAGAAGGAGCCTGTAAGTAGTGTAGGCCCTCAGGGGACACTAAGGAAGTGGAATTTCTCACGTAATTTTGGGGCCCTTTTTAATCTTAAATTGATAAACAGATAAACAACGCAGTCTCTGGGGGATATAGGTACCCAGAATGTTAGGAAGCACCATTTACAGTAATTTTTTCCCACACAACCCACCCGCTAATAATGGTTGCCCTTCACAGGTCCATTTACAGGGGAATCCAGCCCCTGCTGCATTATTATATAACAATTGACATGGCTTTACTATGATCAGTGTTTGACTTTAAAGTAGCTAAGTCTTTTTTTTTAAAAAAACCTCTTCGACATTGTAAACACGACTTATTGGTCAATTTAAATCAACATTGATGTTGTTATCTTACTATGAAAAGTTGGGCTTCTGATATCCAATATTTAAGACAAAATGAAAATTTTAAAATTGATTCGTGTGCCAGAATGCCTTTGAGCGTCAATTGTATGAAGCGATTCAATTCAGACTCTTCGCGTATATCGCCGAACATAACTGATTAGAAATTACAGTAAAAACAGAAACGATTGAATGTAAGTATACATTCATATTACATTATTATAAGCGCTGCGACCCATTTGTGTCCAGTTCTAGGCGCCAAAGAATAGCGATTTAGCTCCTTTAAACGGAGATTTCTACATCTACTCAAGATATATTTGTTTTCTAGACGTGTTGTTTCCTGATAGATTACATATGGAGAATAACTAATATAAATATCAAGATTGAGTCTTCGCAGATATAGGAGTATTTGAATGCTACCTAGTAACAAATTCGATTTATATTCGCCAATATTATATTTCATATACTCTGATAGCAGGTTAAAGACAAAACTATGTTAATTTCTCTGTGTTCTAGGCCGGTCAATTATATTTCTGTATACTTACTGAATATTAGCAAGACCGCTACAATCACTGAAAGGTATGACATCGGTGCGGGTTAATGCGTTCGCCGTGTTCGCTTTATTCCTTCTGTTTGATTGTAGGTATGTGGTCAGTAAAGGTAACTGTATGGAAAACGTGTTAAATCACTGCAGAAATGTACTTGCAAACAATATGCCGGGGATGGAAGAATATGAGGCATATATTGGTCGATATAGGGAAGCTTGTGAGTATCTAGATACTTTGTTTGCTGCAAAGCATTGTGCAGTCGATCTTAGGCCAATTATTGATATAACCACTGTGCCCAACAATGGCTATAATTACCTGGGTCCGATCTATTTACGAAGGCCACTTGAAGATTTCCTCAAGGTCATGAGATGTAAACAGGGCTGGGGCACGTGATTGTTGCCGGAGATTGTGGGTTAGGGTTTTGGTAAATATTAGGGCTAGGTCTTATGGTGACCTTGAGGAAATCTGCAGGTGACCTTCGTAAATAGGTCTAACCAGTCTCCTGCTATACTCTGAGATTCCTCTGTTTCACAATGTAGCATATATAGCAATTTTTTTGGAGAAATGTTTCTTGTAAATGAATTAATTTGAATTTTTCGTAAACACACAACTGTACCGCAAAGCTCGACACGTGGCACGAAAGGGTTTAATAAATAAAAGAGAAAATATTTCTGATGGGTTAATTTTTAAAAGAATTTTTTTTTTAATAATAAACCATCGTTAGATTAATAATTTAACTATATGTTTATATATATTTTATATTTTATTTTAACTACAGGTAAAAAAGGGGAAACACCCAAAATAACTTTTGAGAACAATTATGGTGAGTGTACAAAACAAGACCATTAATAATCATTCTAATAGGCCTTTTTAAAAGGGTTGGCTTAAAATCCTAAGAGATTTCAAATCAATCCAAATTCAGTAGGTAATTACCCCTACCTATTGAGTAGACATTTCAAAACTATGCAAAATAGTTTGTATGCATAGAAATATCTAAGCGATCCCGGATATGGCAGTTTTCCAATTTCTGAACCCTAAGTTAATTCTAACTGATTTCTTTTCGTCTTGTTACTGTAGTTCCTTAGTTCGAAATGTAATAGGGTATCGCATCCTACTTTGCTACACCAACCGGACTAATGAAGACAAGCATATACATTGTACTGTGCTTGGGTAGTTATTATGTCCGGAACTCAGTCTATCGTACCATCCCAGCGACTATAGACGCTATTTCTTGCCAGACCCTTCACCCTGCACAACCAACAAAATGGAAACCACGCCACAAATACCGCGGATCTGTCTCGGCCAACACCTGGATTGAACCAGAGATGTTTTTTTTTTTTAAACAATATTTTATTCAGAAAATTTTGGATTGGGGAACAGGCTTAGCCTATGGACCCCCTCTCCATAGTATACAAATACAAACATTAAAATACAAAATAATAGTAATAAATATACAAGATAATTGAAATTTGATGGCTATTTACATTATATACAAATTTCACAGCCACAACAATGTTTAAATTCATAATTCATGACTTTAAAACCTCTTGGAGATGTCGAGAAAATGATGAACTGCATTAAATATCTGTGTTGCCTTATAGCTATCTTTTACGCCGAATAATAGGGAGTTAATATTGTGATGTTCTGGTTCTAATTGAAAAATAGTTTGAGAACGGGCATCTGAATGTAAGGAGCAAACTAACAGAAAGTGTTCAGAGTCTTCAAAAAAGTGACCGCAATCGCATGTAGGAATGTCCGAAATATGCCTTAGAAATTTATGTCCGTTTAAATCACTGCAAGAAAGTCGAAGTCGAGAATGGAGAATTTGATTCTTCCTGCAACCAATATAGTAGACAGATGGAACAGAGTTGTCTATAGCTCGTAATTTTGATTTAAAAGAAGAAATGGTAAGTGCGTTTTTGGTAGCATTATCAAGGTTATTCCATTCTTTAATAGTGGATGGTATGAAAGTAGAAGAGAAGAGAGTTGTTCGGCAAAAATAATCTGGTAAATTGTTTTGGTTTCGTAGATTGTATGAATATGATTGATTGCAAGGAATAAGTTTAAATAAATAGTCGGGAGTAAAATGATTTAAAATTTTATACATTAATATTAGTTTGTGTCGCCTTCGTCGTTCTTGCAGTGATATAAACCCGGTCTCCTGATATATTAACTTATGACTGGTACCCTTTACAGCACCGCATATAGTCCTGAGTGCATCTAATTGTAAATATTCTAGATTGTTAGTCAGTTCATTAGTGCTCCCGTCCCATATTATGTCACAGTAGTCAAAATGAGGAAGAATGTAAGAAGTGTACATAATTTCTAGGGATTTGCGACTAAGTCGGTACTTTAGAGATCGAAGACAGTTCACGAGTTTACCAGTTTTTGTTAAGATGTTATTGATATGCATATCCCACTTACAATTATTTTGAAATGTCAGTCCCAGATGTTTGTGATACGAAACTTCTTGAATTGGAATGCTGTCTAAGTTTAGTGTCGGTAATATAATTTTCTTCTTAGTAGTAAGTGCAAGTGTTTCAGTTTTCAGCGGGTTAAAGGATACCAGCCATGTTTTTGCCCAAATATTTATTTTTTCCAGATCAGCATTAAGAACATTCGCACATGCCGTTGGGTCACTTACTTTTATATATAAACTTGTATCGTCTGCAAATAGTCTGATGTTCGAGTCAATGTTTTTGACAATATCATTGATATAAACAAGGAACAAAAGGGGTCCGAGAACGGAGCCCTGTGGGACACCAGCTGGGACAGTCAGAGGTTCAGAAGAAGCACCCCCAATAACCACACATTGTTTTCTATTACTAAGATAGTCTTCAAACCACTCTAGTAGATGTCACCTAACTAAATGAGTCACCGCGACACCCCTTCTTAGTTCTTAGAGCCCATTACACATTAACACCGGTTATAAAAGTCGTATTTTTTTTAACCCGATATTCATCATTATCCTATTGTTTCTCCTGTTAGTGAATCCACCAGATGGTTATGTAAATGATAATGCCGGAGGGAATACACCTGTTATAACGGAACCGAATGGCGTGAATTTTGTGAAATGCAGCGAACTGGCCCAAAAATGTGTCAATATGTCAATGGAAAATACAAAACCAGAATGCCCGTAAGTACTGTATGAGAAAAGTTTCTCGGCCGTGTGCTTTATTCTTTATCGTCAGATGTGGGACAGGATGGGCACTCAAAGCACGAGATAATGATATAGACATTATGTGATATCACAATTAATGCTTTGCATCCATCAAATTGAATCACAATGTCATTGTATTAATTCATAATAAAAATTGACGTCAAACGAGGTGTTGAATTTATCTGTTTAAAAAAGCTCAATGTGTATGTATATACGCCAAAATGACGATAGAGACCATGGGGAGGGGGAGATACATTGTCTCAGGAACCTGGCAAACCCCCTCCTGCAAAAATTCCTGGATCCGCCCCTGTTGTTTTCCGCTTAAACATTCTTGGTATGAAAAAAAGAATAATGGTACAGAGCCTGCTCTATTTTTAAATGCAGGATTAATTATACAGAATAAAATATATCCTGAGCTCATGTCAGGTTCAACAACTCTGCGCACAAAATATGGCAATAGGAACAACCCCAATTCAAAGTGTTCAACATAAACAGCCTCGAAATCGTCTTAGATTCCAATTTTTCGAAATAGTCATATCAAAGTATATTATGATAAAGGAAAAACACGAACACGCTATATTAACTAACAAATGTATCGATAGTATAAATAATCTCGATTTGTCTATGTTGTAAATTCATATAAATGGTTATATTTTGTAGGGTAATGAAAGCTACCGTTAAATGTATGGACGAGGTTATGACTACGTGTAACAGTTTATTGCCAGATTCCTTCAGATTGAAAATAGAATATTCAAGACAAGAATACCATATACAATGTAAATATCCCACTTTCTAAACAGTGGATTATTGGGACTGGGGTAGCGATTGGGGGACACAAAATATTATAAACTGTTTTAATATCTTACTCACTCTTACTGATTTTACATATGGCAAAGATTATCAGGTGTTATAGAAACGGTAGGAACCATACAAGCATCAATATATTTGTATATAGAACAGGGCCCTCATATAGGGGGAGGCTGAAGGGGGGGGGCATATGCCCAGGGGCGACACGTCTTGGGAGGAGGGGGAGGGTTGCAGGCACACTGAACAAAGCAGTTACAGTATGCGTCATCGGGAGCGTCACTGAAAGTTTTGCCCTGTTGCGCCACATAGACTTGTGAAGGCCCTGATATAGATTGACCTTCTGTCAGGATTTTATCGATTAGCCTTTTGTGTAAACCGATTTTTGTATACCCTGGGTATTCGATAAACTATTGTCTTTTAACTGCATGGGTCACGATTGAATGTATATTTCCTAAGGTAAAATTTAGTATGTTCATGTTCTTTAAAGGTGAGAACGATAATGACAGGGTCGGCGGTACAGAATCAGGGATGCCGGGAAATAATAATGATATGGGACAGACGGTTTCTGGTGAAAAAGGTATGACTGTATATTCAACCTGTAATTAAAACATGTTATGTACATGTCTGTGGTTGTGTGTTACAGTAGTATAGTCCGATTTGCTATACGACCAAATGCTTTTAAAGAGGCATTACATTTCATCGGTCGGTATAATTTTCAATTTGACGTGATTTAATTATGGAGTTACATTAGCATGTTCACACCACACTGGTCGTATTGGATGTTATACAATGAACATTCAATCTGATTAAAACACAGATCCTATTTCGTTTCGTTTTTTATAGATCAAAATTTCGTTTTACTTGTCTTTACTACACTAGAATCTGGAAGAGTTGTTATATAACCTGCGTTTCGTTTGATGAGAGGGATTAGCCAATGAAACGGTCTGTTACGGCGAGTATTTTGGCGTGCGTTGCACCGAACTGTGGGTATCCCAATAGAAACATCCACGCTGATTAGTTAATCAAAAGTCAGATGTTATAGGGTCAAAAGCCGTTCGAATAATCCCTGACGCGACCTCCCACCACAAATGGTCAGATCTTCATGTAGTAAAGGCCATCGAAAGCATAAAAAAACCGAAACGAAATATAGATCTGTATTTTCATCAGATTGAGTGAACATTCAGGTTACTGGCAGGTAAGGTATCAAAACAATGTTGACAATATTCTTATTTCGCTCCACAGACTGAAATGTAAAATAGGTCAATACGTCGCTTTAATGTAAAGGTTTTAAAATTTTAATTTACTGGTCGTACAGGTGTTTAGATATCTCACTCTAACGTCTAATGTTGTTTTGATATGATGTTTTAATATTTTCTTGATACAAGTTATGGCCCCGCATGTACCTTATGAAAGATCTAATATGTTTTCTGTATAAATTTTTTGGGGTAAATACAGGTTCTTGTTTATGGTCAATATCCATATGAGATAATTATGTTTCATTTTTCTGTTAACTTATAGCACATGAATTAAGACTAGTTTGTTCATTTAACAGTGACCTCAATGCTGAATCCATGACATTTTTGGCATAGTTATGTAGTATGGTATTTCAAGTTTGTGTGTCTCAATATTTTACTCGTCAGCCTCATGCAAACTTTGGAGCAAGACATGGCCACAAGTTACTCCGTGTGTGGTGGAAAGCATTCTTCAACCCAACGAAAAAATAAGGAAAACTGATTAAAGTCAATGTTGAAATTATTGGTAGTCTGTTTCCAAATAGAAAAAAGAGTTTGTTCCCTTCTATTAGCTTATTAATCCTATCAAACCATCAACAGATATTTGCCAAATCATTTGACAAATGGATGTATGTGTATGATCTGGTTTATGGGCGGATTGCACGAGGCGATTATGGTTTCCTTAGAGAATTAGGGGGAATATTTAGCACTCCATTTTGAATTACATAGCCGGCCCCTCCCACCTCACGCCCCCCTTTACGACATATCCTTCGTTTTCCCCTAGAGTTAGTAAATTCCATGGAAACTTTTTCAGAATTTGATATTACCAAATTCAAACCTAAAGGAGAAATAACAGTAGTAGAATGTAATCATCTGATAAAGTTATGTTCTGATATGATAGTTAATATTTATAGACCGGAAGAAGAACAATGCAGGTAAGTATTAGTGTTAGTTAATTTCAGGCGTTTTGATATAACAAAAATCCTCGAAATATTGATTTAGGAACGAATAGTGTGGTTCTAAACCTGAGACAACAATCCAAAGGGAGGGAAGAGACATTCAACATAAACTAGGTCATTTCTGAATTACCATAATAAATATGTATATTTTCCTTTTACCGGGGGGGGGGGGTCGAGTGCAATTCCGGTGTTGTCGGGTTTCATCTTGTCACGAGAGCTGGAAAGAGAGAGAGAGGATGACGGCAAGTAAAGCGTCCATTCGTTTGGGTGAGACCAAAACTGCGTTCCTGTGTATACCATTGGAAGCATGTTAATGGAAATGAAATGGGGTTTAACGTCCTACTGTTCTGCCCCGACTGGGCTAATGAAGACGGTCATACGCCATACAGGCATGTTAATGGTCTCTTGACAGATGGAAATCGAAATAAGATGTAGACCGCAACGTCATTGTCAGGGTAAATTTTCCAACACGTAGAACGTGACTCTGGAATAACTTTTAGGATATTTTAATCCCAGTTTCAACTTGCACAAGGTATTTGACAAGAAAAATGTGTCACCACGAAGGGGACACACAATCCAAATTGGCCGATATTATCTGAAACACTTTTTAGGTTAATTATATTATGGTTTTTAGAAACGTTATATTTATATTACTTTTTAGGAAAAACGAAAGAATACGCCATTGTTTGATGTCGACCATACATATGTGTTTGTTTGTTTTACAACCAGAATTAATCGCCGACCTTAGACAATCTGTTGACCTGTACAAAACATGTAAGTACGAAACTAAAATGAAAGGTTATTATCCACAATTTGCCCAGACCATTTTGAGATTAAAATGGTGATCTGAGTATATCGACAAATGGGAGACGACAGGTGTTCCAGTCGAAGGTTTACCAGTTGACAAGCCCATATCATCTTAATTATTAATGAATTAACTTTCAGATTTGTTCCGAAATTTTAGTCATCCTAACCTTACAGACAGACTACAGACAAAAATGGCTAGCAGCCCACTTGTGGACCAGAATGTCAACTGTTGATTGGCTGAAAATGGGGTAGTTGCTCACAATTTACAAACAATCAGGGTCCAGGATGCCCTTTCACCCGGGAAGACATGATCTTTTACTCTATATACAGATGATCGAGAATTCACGTTCCTCAACATTTTCAGTATTCTTATTTCATGTTTTAACAATGTTCAGAAGTAGTCTCTGATGCACTTCCCATCTTAATTGTTTGCAGAATAAAATCCGTTGTATATTGTTTTGCATAAGGGGTGAATTTGCCGAGCCATCACTCACATATTCACGTGTTTATAAACTCAATTGTGGGGTATACTGCCGTCACATTTGTATGTTTTAGTTTAAGGAGATTCACTACCCAAAGTGAAAAGCAACCTGCACTATGCTAGGTTGATTATGCAGTTTTCTCGGGATATGATAGTCATGAATGATATTCTGTTTCAAGAATTGAGAAAACGTTTAATTGAAATATCTGTGAAATGTTATGAATTATTTATATCTACAGGTAAAATCGACCCATGTCCCAACCCTGACCGTGACTTTGAACAATGTGAAGATATAATGGATGGAGTTAAACCACATGGGATATGCAAGTAAGTGTTTTTACTTAAAGGAAATGAAGTGAAATGCAATGGGGTTTAACGTCCGACTATGCTAATGAAGACGGACATACGCCATACATTGTGCTATGAGGAAAGTTCTTCCCGGACAGCGGCACTAAGGGATCTTTAATGTCCATGCCAATGTGTACACGTGACCTCGTTTTTTTTTGTCCCATCCGAAAGACTATACGTTGTCCTTTCGCCAAGCCTTCTGAACTTTCTCGGCCAACGCCAATGGCTCAGTGCGTAAGATCTTGGCAGGCTAACCTGCGTTGGCCGAGAAAGTTGTCAATGGTGCAGGACCGATGACCTGGCAAGAAACAACGTATAGTCGTTGGGATGGGACAAAAAACCGAAGTCCCGTGTACATAATGGCTTACACCTAAAAGATCCCTTATCAGTTGGAATTCGATATAAGTGTAGGCCTAAGCGCCGCCGTCCGGACAAAATTTCCCTCATAGCACACAGTAAGTGATATGCCCGTCTTCATTAGCCCAATCGGAGCAGAACAGTATGACGCTAAACCCCATTTCATTTCGTTTCTATTTTTATGTGACAGCATGACGAGACACCATTTGATATTAGATATAAGATAAGCTATTTTATCAACTGTTTGATATTTGATATAAGATATGCTAATGTGATATCTACAATATTGTTGTTAATCCTACCACGATATTCATATTGTTTATATTTGCACAGCTGAGATAGATGAGGATCAATAAAAAACTGATTTGTAAAATAACATGGTTGTTTGTTTGCTTAGTTTTAGACATATTCAGCCAAATAATTTTATAGGGTTATGCCAAATCATATACATATATTAAATATTTATATATTACGATTATATTCTAATACCAATTTGACATCATCAGCACTGGTTTCTTATATACTAAAGAGCAAAAATAAAACGTCAGTACGATTTCAAAATCAGAGAGGCACTTTAATCAAATCATTCTAGAAAACGACTTACTAAATGGATCAATAAACATTTGTTGTGAACAGTATGTTAACACATTAGTGATTAATTCATCACAATTCCAAGCCATTACGAAAAGGTTTAGAGTCTGTACACAGTCTATACATCAGTATCTGGTGTGTCCACCGCGAGTGTGCAGTAGCAGCAGCGCAGCGTCTGTACATGGAGTGGACCAGACGATTGATGGACGCCGTTGACACCTGGAACCACACTCTCAGAAAAGCCTGACGCAATCCATCGGCTGTGTTTGGTTTCGATACGACGTTATTAAGTCTCCTTTGAATTTCATCCCAAAGATGTTCAATCGGGTTTAAGTCCGGACTAAGGGCTGGCCAGTGCATAACGTTGACACCGTTCTGCTGTAGAAAGTCCCGAGTAACTCTGACGGTGTGGGCACGAACGTTGTCATGCTGGAAAACGTTGTTTCGATGACGTGCGAAATGTGGTATGACGTGGTGTCTGAGAGCTTTATCGATGTAGCGCACTGCTGTGATGCCGCATCCTCTCCCTGGACCAATATTTTGGAACACCACGGGATCTACTCTCTAGTTCAGGCCGATTCCACCCCAAACCATTATACTTGGACCTCCCCATGAGTCTCGTTCCACGACACATTGGTCAGAATAACGCTGGCCACGTCGACGCCATATTCTGGTCCTGCCATCTGCAGTTGATACGCAATACCGACTCTCATCTGTGAACAGAACAGTTCTCCATTGCCTGTGTCGCCAGTTCTGGTGTTGTTGGGCAAACGTTCACGTCGATGGCGAGGGGCGAGGGTCAGTCCACGGTAAAGTCTACGGCAATGGATGTTCTCTCTGGTGAGACGTCGGCGCACTATATCGGTAATATATGACGAGAGGGGTGGGGGGGATAACGTCCACTCAACACAAGCTAGGTCATTTAGGGACTAACACATGGTTTAATTTTATTTCAATAATTCGCTTGCGCGTAGGGGTCTTTAGCAGTGTGAGGAAACCGGAGGACCCGGAGGACCGGGAAAAAAACCACGAGGTTGAACAGGCGACCCAACTCCTTGTCACATACTTTAAATCCCACCTAATGGCTAACCGCTTTTGCAGGCTGTAAAATCCCAAGATATTATACGACATTACGACGTGTGTGATAAAATCGGCTTTATATGAAAACAGAAAACAAAATAGATACGTAACTCACAGATGTGTTTCTAAATCGAATCCCCTACATTAAGCCCTTGGCCAAATCGGGTATCCAGTTATTCCGCTCCAACAGGTTATTTTACTATGAATATATTACACATAGATAAGTCCTTTTCTAATCATATTCCCGAGAAGCTTATATAAAAGACACATTAGTTTAATAAAGAGTTGTCCATTCTTGCTATAATAATTCAAAAATAGATGATAAAAAAATAAAATATTGAACATTTCAGTCAAAGTACTTTATTCTGAAGTTTGAACTAGAAATAGGCATTGGTGAGCATAATAATATGTAGGGCAGGTTTAATGAGGGCGTCTTTTATCGTAATGATTGATATGTATTTCAATGCTGAATATGTCTTGCTAGCCGTAAGTTATAGTGTGTTTGAATATAAGTTCTATATATGACTCTTTTTTATACGCCCACTTTTTCATGTGGACGTATATTGTCGTCGCCCCTGTCGGTCCGTCCGTCCACAATTGTTTGTGAACACTCTACAGGTTACAATTTTTATCCGATTTCAATGAAACTTGAAATATAGGTTTATCACCCTTTCGATATTGGCATGTATCGGACTGTAACTTAATTGATTATTGCCCCTGGTTGTACGAAAAATCACGTTTTTAGCCTGTGAACACTGTGTGATGACAATTTTTATCCGATTTGGTTTAAACTTGAAATGTATGTTTATAACCCACAGATCTCGGTTCCTTTCGATATTCGCGCATATCGGACCCTAAATTCCTGAATTATGGCCCCAAATTGTACGGACGATCGCGTTTTTAGCTTGTGGACCCTATAGAGGTCACAATTTTTATCCGATTTAAAACAACGTTGGAATATATCACCGTTATATCCTAAGGATGGTTGAGTTCGAATTTCGTGAAAATCGGACCGAAACTGCTGAACAAAATGGCCGCCGCTCGTTCGCAAATAGGGTTGTGGGCCCTCTAGAGATCACAATTTTGATCCGATTTCGATGAAACTTGAAATACAGGTTTATAACCCAATGATCTTGGTTCCTTTTGATATTCTCGCATATCGGACCGTAACGTCATGAATTATGGCCCTTGATTTTACGAAAAGTCACGTTTTTAGCTTCTTGTTCCTCCAGAGGTCACAATTTTTATCCGATTTAAAAAAAAAACGATTGAATATACCACCTTTACACCCTACTGATGGTTGACTTCAAATTTGGTGAAAATCGGACCGAAACTGCTGGACAAAATGGCCGCCGCTCGTTCGCAAATAGTATAAAAATATGGTATATCAACGTTTCGGACCCTCTAGAGGCCACGATTTTGATCCGATTTTGATGGAACATGAAACATATCTTTATTTCCCAAGATTTTGGATCCTTTCGTTATTTGCACATATCAGATCGTAACTTCCTGGATTATGGCCCCTAATTGTACGAAAAATCGCGTTTTTAGCTATTGGACCCTCTAGAGGTCATAATTTTTATCTGATTTTAAAAACCGCTTCAATAGATCACCGTTGCACCATAATGATGGTTGAGTTTGAATTTCGTAAAACCAGATCAAAGCTGCCCGACGACAAAATGGCCGCTCTATCGGTCACAATTTTTATACGATTTAGATGAAACTTGAGATGTATGTTTATAACCCACAGATCTCTGTACTTTTCGATATTCGCGCATATCACGGTGTAACTTCCTCGATTATGGCCCCTGATTATACGAAATATTGTTTTTTTAGTTTGTGGTCGCCGTAGAGGTCTAGAAGTCACAATTTTTATTATATTTTAAAAATCTTTTAAACATTTCATGTTTACACCCTAATGATGGTCGAGTTCTAATTTCATGAAAATCAAACCGAAACTGCCAGACAATTTGGCCGTTCCTTTTACAGTCGGACCAAGACAGACGACCACTCGGACCAAGACAGAAGACCACTCGGACCAATGTTTTTGAAAAAATAAAGTATTGTTTTAATAAATTGATGATTGTGTTTGTTTTAGTACATTTGTTTTCTTTGTAGCCTACTTACATGTGTTTTTATCACATCATGAAGCACAGAAATAAAAAAAACATTGACAACTGAGTACTTATTAATTCTCTATACTGCTGAAAAGACTATAAGTATGTATTGGGTATAAGTATGTAATACAAAGGTTATGAACCCTCTAGAGGTCACATTTTTTATCCGATTTTGATGAAACTTAAAAGATATCTTTATATTCCAAATATCTCAGTCCCTTTTGATATTTGCGCATTTCAGACCATAACTTTATGGATTATGGCCCCTGATTGTACAAAAAATCGTTTTTGTTTTTAGCTTGTCTCTACCCATCTCTTGCAAAATGTGGGCGTATCTTTCCTGGCAGCCGCTGGTTTTATTTCAGAGCTGATTATTTTACTCTGAAATGTTACAGTAACCTATATAGTGTGTTTGAGTATTAGTGTATGACCCTTTTGTTTATTTCAGAGCTGGTTATATCACCCTAGAGTGTTACAAAGTCTACATGGCAAGATGCGAAGACAAAATGACAAGCTATATGAAAGGCGGGGTTAGAGATTTCAAAGCATTCATAAAGCGACGTTGTGGCTACTGATCACATTTATCAGTTATTTCATTGAATGAATTTTAAAAGACATAAATATTATAGGGAACATATTATTGTATATGTACTTTTCAATAGGTTTATTTCTGGAGAAAAAATTATGTTAAAATCTAAATCATGAGTAAGTTTACATACTTCCTTGAGGTCTTGACCATTAAAACACCTTATTTGAGAATTTCCCATGGATAAGAAATTTTGTTTTACCTTTTTGCGGGAAGTTACAAAGATTTAACCACAGGAAACAGCTGCCAATAGCATCCATTGTTTTGTGGATTATTTTAAGACTTTCAAACGTAATTTCTGCCCTTCATAAGTTTTAGCGTGCGCGGCTTGCCAGGCTATAATAATGTGTATGTAACGCGAACAATTTCTCGTTAAAATTGGCTTGGTCGAGAAACGAACGACATAACGCCGGAATTGATGAAACACAAACTGCAGACTGTGAATAGCGATTCTGGGGACGATTCAAGACGCACAACAGACCCAAATGATCATCATCCAGTGGTTCCTACGCTCACCTTTCCCGTCACTCCTGGAGCCAGCGTCAGCCCGGAGAAACCTGCGGTGATTAGCCCCGCTGTAAACATACAGAATCCAATCCATCGTCCTTCTAGTCCTAGTATTGCACAATCCGATCCTGAACTTGCCACACTCCAATCAGAGCCCCAATGCGATTCGAATAGAGCGCCAGAAGGTTTTACTTCGACGACAGTTCGAAGAAGAAAAGTCGAACCTCGCTGTACAGGAATTATGGTCAAATACACGATTGCTCAGACGGCCATTGTTGAAGGTAAGCTGATTAATCTGTCGTTTAATATAATTTCTGACTTAAATCCCCATTAAGTAATAAGCCCGAGCAGAAGGCCCTACATATCATGAATTTCTTGTTGCCTGACCCAGTGCCGGCCTATATAAGCTTTCACGGTTGACACTGATGTCGAATGTCGCATCGGGAGGAAGAGGGCATTAGAAATAGTTAGTGCGGAGGAATGGGCTTATGCCAACATCAGCATTATGCAGGACATTATTTTCTCTGTGAAAATATAGGAACTGACCATGATGCTTGAGAATAATAATAATATGGTACATAGCGTTCCCCCTCATTTGGGCACATAGAGTTTTAACATACGGGTATTAGAGACTTTTGGCAAGCATAAAAGAGAGAGAGAGAAATGGGGTTTAACGTCCACTCGACACAAACTAGGTCATTTCGGGACTAACATATGGTTTAATTTTATTTCAATAATTCGCTTGCGCATAGGGGTCTTTAGCAGTGGGAGGAAACCGGAGGACCCGGAGAAAACCCACGAGGTTGGACAGGCGACCCTACTCCTTGTCACGTACAACCGGGGATTCGAAACCACGCCAGTCGACTCAATGACAGACTTTATGATACAACGCGTGCACGCTAACCATTCGGCCATCCAACCCCCCGGCAAGCATAAAAGCCAGGTCCGTATCGCGTATCCGTATCGATTTTGCGTGTGACGTCATCAATGCGTGTGTATATCTCATACGTGGCACACGGATACGGCAGCACGTATCGAACAGCTTTCATATGGAAAAGGTCCGTATAACATCGTTTTCTTTTTACTTTATTATTTGCTACTTTTAGACGATGAAATGTTGTGCCGTTTTTATGAATTTATGTGTATCCTAGAACACGAAGATGTATATTTGATGTGATTTAACCATGATAAAGACTGGAATTTAATCATTACTTTTGATGGGCTCTTCACGGCATTTTCATATTTGTCCTGTCTGTCTATCTGCACGCTCATGGTTGATCTACGTGCTAAATTCGGGACCTTGCAAATCTGTAACAAGACTGTAAAAAATATCCATTATTTATGTCGCCGAATTCCGTAGTTTAACACCTTTTTTTCTGTTAATCGATGGCTTTTTTGGAGAAATTGTGTTAATAATGTGAATTATTTCTTCAAATTACGTGTTTTATGTTTTTCTGTGGAATATTCAGTATTAAACAGGAAATTTCCGTGAAATTTAGGGATAAAATGTTTTATTCCCGTCTATAATGGACTTAATTCTGTTATTTTACGGAATAAACGGTGGAATGACCAGGAAGTTCCGTGAAATTTAGGGATAAAATGTTTTATTCCGTTCTGTAATGGACTTAATTCTGTTATTTTACGGGATAAACGGTGCAACGATAAGTAATCGTATACATATATAACCATTCCTAATAATTATCATGTTATAGTATCCATTTCAATTTATTAACCATAATATGAAGAATAATATTTTGTAACGTGTGGTATGTTAATGTCCATTATTTATAAGATCTATAAAGTGTATTGTTATTCATTATTGATACGGTAATCAGATTGTAAGTATTTTCATAAATGTGTAAAAATATGTTTTAACGCTGCGTGTGGATAGGTTGTATTATCTGGTAATCAAGCACGCTTAAATCCGGACAGTATAACCGATTGGCCAGTGTAATTCGGTTTGTCTCTATGGCAGAGTCTACATACCTGCGAATTGATAGTACCGCTATAGCTTACACCTGAAAGCCCCCAACCACTGATGAGTAGCGGTTTGTGATACCTTGCTCTCGATTAGGATATTCCGTATTCTTACATTAGCGAAAACAGGTTACGTTTAAAGATTGTCAGCGAATATCACTTCGGTGGAAGCGGACGTTAAATAAAGCTATCTTACGCTCGCGTATAAAGTTAATTCAATGAAATTTTTATCACCTTCGTGCTCAGGACACAAAATTTACCAGGATTTCTTTTTTCTGTATTTGAAAATGGATTTCTGTAAATTACAGGAAAAACAAATACGGATAAAATTTTCCTGGTAATTTTTGTTTCCGGAATTTTTTACGTTTTTTCACGGATATTTTTGTTACAGTGTATATACTTTCTGAAATGATACATTTAGTGAAACCGAACATTTTTAATGAGATTCGACACTAGATCTTTTTAAAATTTTAAATAGCTCAGCGACTGTTGAGCGACTTTACTTTATTTCGACTTTGCTCGTGTCATCATGCTGTAATAGAACTAAGCTCAGCTCAGCTATATACGTACGCGCCGCGTGACGATACGGATACGTAAAATGAAATGAAATGAAATGGGGTTTAACGTCCTACTGCTCTGCTCCTAACCTGGGCTAATGAAGACGGGCATACGCTATACAGTGTGCTATGAGGGAAATTTTGCCCGGGCAGCGGCGCTACGGCCTACTCTTATATCGAATTCCAACTGCCAAGGGATCTTTTACGTCCACGCTAATGTGTACACGGGACCTCGGTTTTTCGTCCCATCCGAACGACTAGACAGCTGTCCTTGTCAGGCCCTCCGTCCTGTATCACTGACAAGGGGAAGATACGGATACGTGATACGGATGAGAAAAATTCCACTTGCCAAAAGTCTCTATTGTTCTCTGCGTATACACCTATCACTCTGTAAAGACAGAATTGGAAAAGCTTTCTTTAACGAAGGCTGACACTGTTATGAAAGAAGATCAAGAAGTGGAATAAGATGAATAGCGGTTAGCGACAAATTCCTGTACACTGGTCTGTACATTGTAACATAAAAATCCGTGAAAAAACGTAAAACGTTCTCAAAACAAAAATACCCAGGATAATTTGATCCTGTAATTTACATAAATTCCTTCAATTACGATAAATTCCATTTTCAAATACATTCCATTTGTTTCCAGAACCTTTTCCCCATTTGACTGTCCAATTATTATAGTTATTAAACCGAAATGAATACTATAACATGATAATTATTAGGAATAATTATATATGTTTACGATAACTTATCGTTGCTATGGAATAATAAAATAAAATAAAGAGTTCAAATCGGGTTCACCATAGCTGTTATCGGTGAATTCTTGGTCATTCCACCGTTTATCTTAATAACAGCTTTAATAAAACATTTTATCCCTAAATTTCACAGAGAGAGAGAGAGAGAGAGAGAGGGGTGTTAACGTCCTCGACACAAACTAGGTCATTTCGAGACTAACACATGGTTTAATTTTATTTCAATGATTCGCTTGCGCATAGGGGTCTTTAGCAGTGTGTATGTGTTGGGGGGGGGGGGGGGGCTGGCGGAGGACCCAGAGAAACCCACGAGGTTGGACAGGCGATCCTACTCCTTATCACGTACAGCCGGGGAATCGAAACCACACCAGACCTAATGATGCAACGCGCACGCGTTAAACATCATTCGGCCATCCAACTCCCCATAATTTGAAGAAATAATTCACACTTTTAACACATTTTCTCCCAAAAAAAGCCAACGTCTATTAACAGAATGAAATAGTTAAACTACGGAATTAGGTTCAATTTTATTTCAAAAATTCGCTTGCGCATACACTGTAACAAAAATTTCCGTGAAAAAACGTAAAAAATTCCGGAAACAAAAATTACCAGGAAAATTTTATCCGTATTTGTTTTTCCTGTAATTTACAGAAATTCCTTCAATTAACATAAATTCCATTTTCAAATACAGAAAAAAAAAATCCTGGTAAATTTTGTTTCCTGACCATGAAGGTGATAAAAATTTCATTGAATTAACCATTGACTTTATACGCGTGCGTGAAATAGCTTTATTTAACGTCCGCTTCCACCGAAGTGATATCGCAAATAATTATTTAAACGTAACCTCTTTTCGCTATTATAAGAATCGAGAGCAAGGTATCACAAACCGCTACTCGTCAGTGGTTGGAGGCTTTCAGATGTAAGTTTGCGGTATTAACAATTCGCAGGTATGCAGACTGCCATAGAGACAAACCGACTTACACTGGCCAACCGGTTGTACTACCCGGACTTTAGCGTGCTTGATTACCAGATATTACAACCTTAACACTCGCACCATTAAAACATACTTTTACATATTTATGAAAATACTTAAAATCTGATTACCGTATGATGAATAACAATACAGTTTATAGATCTTATAAATAATGGAAATTAGATATACCTGTCAATTAATATACCAAACGTTACAAAATATGATTCTTCATATTATGGTTAATAAATTGAAATGAATACTATAACATGATGATTATTAGGAATGATTATATATGTATACGATTACTTATCGTTGCACCGTTTATCCCGTAAAACAACAGAATTAA